ATCAACATGTGTTTGTAAGATAAATAGTTTATAGCACAACTAAGATCTCAGTCATATACACAACAAAACAAATCTAAAACTTCATACTCCATAATCTCATTGCATGATGAATCCTTCTATGATACCACCAATAACCCAATTGTACATGACACACTACCAATAACAAAAATAATAATAATAATAAAGACATGTACTGAAGATGAAAACAATAACAATGCTACCCAAAAGAGAATTAGAAAAATTTAAACCAAAAAAGAGTATTTATTTAGACTATCGCTTTTAGACTTAGTACTTAGATTAGAGTTATTACAAAGTTGCAAACATTTATTTTTGTGACAGTTATATATAATCAACCTCTCATATATTATCTTGCATTTATATACTTTAAATTACCGATTTAAATAAACAAATTCAACATTTATTTACTTATGCATGAACATCTTCTATATAATATTTCATTAATATACTTTGAAATACTTATTTAAAAATAAGTATTGGGCATTATCCTATTCGCGCAAAGCGCGTAGAAAAATTAGTTAATTTAATAAGAGTAAAATAGAGTACTGATTATGCAAACTTTGATTAGGATGAGGTTCGAACCTAAGACCTTTCTTATTGAAATCAATGAGTAAGTTAACGGTGAACTAACAGAAATTAACAAAGAAAAGATAATATTTAACAGAAAAGTTAACGTATAATCATATTCATTAATGATAAATTAAGAAATCTCAAGGAAAAATTAAAATCTTTCAATCTGAGTCATTCATTTGATTAAAAAATTTGACCCCCATTATAGGCCTAAGTTTCTTTAGCTCTTAATATCTTATTAGTATAGATGATAGATTATGGGGTGTTTGGTAAATAATTGTTAGTTGATTGAATTAGTGAGTTTGACTAGTTGATAACATTAGCTGATTATAGAAAAATGTTTGTTAATTAGCTGTTAGCTAGCTGATACCTGATTACATACAAAATAACTTTTTTAAAAACGCTGATCGAAAAAGTTACTTTGAGTTGTTTTTTGAATTTTAGTGTTTTGAAACAATAAGTTATTACAAAAAACTAATTAATAAAATACTCATATTAGTTGTTTAATCAAGTCAAACAGTTAATAGTGGTCAAACAAGCTAAAATTAACTAAGTATTTTACTAAAGAAGGCTATGTCATTAAAAATGGTAAAAAAAAAATCAGCTTCCAATTCTCTCCTTTTTTTATTCTTTTTTTTTTTTTAAATAATAATAATTTTTGAAAAACTTGTTAGCTAGATGCCTAGATGGGGTTCTACTCAAGATCCCATCCATTGAATTCAAACCCCATTATAACTAACATGCGCGAATCGCATTGGATTATAGCCAAAAGTACGATTATAATGACCTAAAATTCTGGAAATCCGATAAAGAACTCCTATAAATAAACTTAAAAAAAAAAAAAAAAAATCATGGAAAAATTGGAAATCTATCTTCTTATCCTGAGAACCCCAAAAGGCCAAAACCCATCACAGACTGTAACCAGTAGTCCTCCAAACACTCAATGCCAAGTCGCTTTGCTCAACACCAAACATTCATTCTTTAAAACCTTCACTCACTGAAACCAGTCATTCTTTAGCTATGGCTGCTCTTCTTGGAGGAACTTCCTCTTCTACACTGGCAATTCTTGCTTCTAAACCTTTGTCTTCTCACCCCTCCAAGTCCTCCATCTTCTCCCTCTCCCCTTCATCAGGTATGTGTGAAAAAGCCCATTTCTTGGATCTTCTTGATGTGTGATTCCTCCTTTTTTGGGTTTGGTGGTGTCCTGGGTATTTGGGGATTTGCTTTGATTTAATGGGTTTTTGTTTATCTTTGGATTGACTGCAGGGTTGAGTGTGGGGAGGAAGTTCTATGGAGGGATTGGGTTGCCAGTGAACAAGGGGAGGCCTCAATTCCATGTTTCAATTTCAAATGTTGCCACTGAAGCTACCCCTGCTCAAGAACGGGTATGAATCTTTTCTTGATATGGGTGTCCCTGTTTATGATCATTTTATGTGCCTTTTGCTATACAATGCTGACAATTTTATGAATTGCAATTCGCTTTGGTACACCCTGCAAGGTGGATTCTGGTCCAAAACTACAGTGTTTCTGCTGTCATGATTATTGCATTGTGGTTTCGTTTTTCAAAAACTGTGCGAAACGCGTTTCTGAACATTAACCTTTGAGTTTCGAAAATCGAAACATACTATTTTATGAACATTAAGCTTTCAGTATATGAGCATATAGTGTCTAGTTTCTTATGAACATGTAACATAGTGAATGCTATAGTATCTAATTTATGAGCATTAATCTTTGAGTTTCTGGACATATATTGTCTAGTTTCTGATCATTAAGCTAAGCTTTGAGTTTCTGAACATATAGTGTCTAGTTTCTGAACAATGATTAATGGACCTTGGTCCAAAACAACGGCGTTTCAGCTGTCATGATTAATGGGGGTGCCGTTTCATTTTCCAAAAACTGTCGAACGTGTTTCTTAACATTAAGTTTTGAGTTTTTGAACATATAATGTTTAGTTTAACATTAAGCTTTGAGTTTCTGAACATGTAAGAGAGTGAATGCTATAGTATCTAATTTATGAACATTAACTTTTGAGTTTATGAACATATAGTGCCTAGTTTTTGAACATTAAACTAAGCTTTGAGTTTATGAACATATAGTGTCTAGTTTTTGAACATTAAACTAAGCTTTGAGTTTATGAATGCATAGTGTCTAATTTCTGAACATTAAGCTTTGAGTTTCTGAACATATAAATGATTAACACCCTTAACGGTGTAAAGGGAAAAGAAGGAAAAAAAAAAAAAAAAAAACAGGAATTTTGACAAAAACGACCTTGTTTTGGACCAAGGTCCACGATATAATTTGCGTGAACTTGGCTACTAGGCTTTCAGAGGTTGCTTTTAAATTGTGATTCCTTTGAGTTTAATTAACTAAAGGAACTAGTTTTAGTTGGTGTTATTGCTCACAAATTTGTTTGCAAAGCCTATTTCTTATGGATAAGGAGAGTAATTCTGAAAAACTGGGATCTTGGTTTAGTTTGTATCCAACTTGATGCTAGATTTGTATGTTCTTATATGAAGTTTGTATCTTTCTGAAATTACAGGCTAAGAAGCTTGCAGCTAGTGAAAGCAGGCCAGTTTATCCCTTTTCTGCTATAGTAGGACAAGATGAGATGAAATTATGTCTTTTGCTCAACGTGATTGACCCAAAGATTGGAGGCGTAATGATTATGGGCGATAGGGGAACTGGGAAGTCCACTACGGTTCGATCGTTGGTAGATTTACTTCCCGAAATCAAAGTAGTTGCTGGTGATCCGTTCAACTCGGACCCAGATGATCCCGAGGTAATGAGTGTCGAAATCCGAGAGAAGATTACGACGGGTGAAGACCTTCCCGTGGCGCTGACCAAAATCAACATGGTTGACCTGCCACTTGGCGCTACCGAGGATCGGGTTTGTGGGACGATCGACATCGAGAAGGCTCTCACCGAGGGCGTAAAAGCTTTCGAGCCCGGGCTTCTTGCTAAAGCTAATAGAGGGATTCTTTATGTCGATGAGGTGAATCTTTTGGATGACCATTTAGTGGATGTGCTTTTGGATTCTGCTGCCTCGGGATGGAACACGGTGGAGAGAGAGGGAATCTCGATTTCGCATCCCGCTCGGTTTATCCTTATTGGCTCTGGAAACCCCGAGGAAGGGGAGCTTAGGCCGCAGCTTCTCGATAGGTTTGGAATGCATGCACAAGTGGGAACGGTTCGGGATGCAGAACTGCGAGTAAAGATCGTCGAGGAGAGAGCTCGGTTCGATAGGAATCCCAAGGAATTCCGGGAATCTTACAAGGCCGAGCAAGAGAAGCTCCAGGACCAAATCGCCTCGGCTAGGAACTCCCTTTCTTCCGTTACGATTGACCATGATCTCCGTGTCAAAATCTCTAAGGTCTGCGCTGAATTGAACGTTGACGGGTTGAGGGGCGATATAGTCACGAACCGGGCTGCAAGAGCATTGGCTTCGCTGAAAGGAAGAAACGAAGTAACTGCTGAGGATATCGCAACGGTAATCCCTAACTGCTTGAGACACAGACTCCGTAAAGATCCATTGGAGTCCATCGACTCGGGGCTACTTGTCATCGAGAAATTTTACGAGGTTTTTAATTGAGGAACGACATTAAGATCTATCGTTTCATTTCGTTACATTTACAATTGCATTTTGTCGAGTTTGCATTATCTGATTTCCAAGCAGGCCAAATGACAAGGCTGCTGGATTTGGCTTTTAGGCATATTAGTGAATAGTGATCAATGAGGTAAAACAATACCCCCCCCCCCCAGTATTACATTGTTCATTCTTACATAACATATCAAAGTTTTAGCCTCTCCTGTATTGTGAAATTCTGAAGTCCATATTGATCATATTCTGCTTTTTTTTTTTTTTTTTCTGTTGTTTTCTTTCACCATCTGCACCTTATGGCTCATTTCTATGGTTTCTAACTTCTAAGTTGCACAGAAATATTGGTTATGGGATATTTGGGCAAATTATACCATGGACTAGGGTCTACCTTGTAGACCCTGGTCCAAAAATAACCTTCAGATTCTGTATCTATAGTTGACACATTCTGTACTTGTAGTTGATAGTTTCTGTACATGTAACTTTAATATTATGTGTCAGCAATTATCAAGTTATTACCTTTCAATTCTGTATCTATAGTTGACACATTCTGTATTTCTGTACATGTTATGAAGTTATTTGTTTACATGTACAGAATGTGTTAACTGAAGGTACAGAATTTTTGTATCAGGGTTCACAATGCAATATGAACCTTATTCTATGGTGTAACAATTGGGATATTTGCCAGCCCCATAGATTCTTGTTTGGCAATTGTCTACAAGAACTTCCAGACAAATTAGTTTTTTTGGACACAATTTGCATCTAAAAAAGCTGTTATAATCATCCATGATTAGATTAACATTGTTGCTGCTATGTAGCAGACAAAGATTCAATGTCACATGAACATAGAGTGCATAATATGAGTCACAAGATACAACTAAGTACACTGGCAAAAAACAAAAATTACTATGTAAATTATAATCCCATATCTAAGAATTCAAATGGTGCCATAAATGATGCCGAAATTTTCCATTTGGAGCGACTCGACGAGAGGTCATCCTACAGGAAAAGTAGCAGAGAAGGAGAGCTTTGTCACCTCATTTGGCGATTTGCTGACCTGATGGAAAGTTCGAAGGCATCAGAAAGGCGTGATAACATTTGGAGAACACAAATCCAGCAGACCCGGAAGGGGTTTCCTTCAAAGTTCAGATCTTTATCTCAACCTTCTTCCAAAGCTCGGTTCTACTTCTGAGCCCAGTTCATCAAGATTCCCGCAATACTTTCTGAAGCAGAAACTCCAATGAAGGTCTTCGATATCTAAGAGTCATGTTTTGCTTATTTTGGAAAGAGTTTATTCAACATCAGATCAACTATCCTGTCTATCCATAAACAGTACATATAGAATCCAATCGGCAACAAGTGTTAGTTTAATTTATTGCTTATACTGGATCAGAGTCGAATGTCATTAGTTTAATTCAAGTCATTGTTGTATCCTTGTCTACAAACCTAGGAACCTCGAACTTAGGATTTTGCTCGGTAAAAGCAGGTGGCCTCTGGTACACAACCGATGCAGCTCTAATCAAGATCCCCGCTGTTAGACCCCAAATCAAATACTTCTTGTCGCCAATCTCATAGTCAAAAAAGTGAAGTAAATAGTTGTGCCCCATCCACTCTCTTTCTTCTGATCTTCTGTTTTCATCCTGTTAAAGACACTCTACCGTAAAACATGGGAGGAAACTATATATTTAAGCGCAAAAAGAAGGAAGTGTGGGCAAAAATGGAACCTTGAGAAACATTTCTAATGGAGCATCAAAAACCGCCTCTACTTCATCAGCATTAGGCGTGGGATTGAATTCCTTCTTATTGGTGAGTATTCCGATAACGGGAATTACTCTGAGAAGGTGCTGCATAAATATAATAAAAATATCACCAATGGTATGATATGAATCCATACGAAACTCCAAATATGAAGGGCTAAAGAGGATTCAAGATTCCTTTTGGCCTTGTTTGGTAACATAGTTAGCTTATCAGTCAATTTCGACTTATTTGACCACTATTAGCTGTTTAACTTGGTTAAACAATTGTGCACAAACTTTGAGTTGTCCAAAAAACCAAGGATAATTCAACGAGTTTCTTAACGAGAATGTGAATATACTAGAAGAAATACCTTGCACAACCTTTTGGCTAAGATAAAGTGCTGTTTCAAGAGATTAATTTAGCGACTCAACTTTAGATTTGAATAGGGGGTGGATGCATAATTGCATACCTTAGACAAGAACGGCTCGAGGTAAGTCACGACATTCACGAGTGAAGGGTCCAGTCCGATTTCCTCATTTGCTTCCCTTGTAGCGGTCTCAGCATCACTCGCGTCTCCTTCTTCTGCCTTCCCTCCCGGCAATGCAACTTCACCTGCATGACAAGGAAGCGAAGAAATGTTATTTGAATCAAAGAAACTATTAGAGAAATCAGCAATGAAGACAATATAGACCAATGAAGATCCACTTTTCACAAATCAAATCAACACTAATATGAGGTGATTCCACAAATGAACAACACGAAATGAAACCTTAAACGCTACCATTGTAAAATTCACACACAATAACAAGCAGCATAACAAATTTGTTTACACAAACAAAGTTTCTATAGCATCTTTTCAGCCAATTTGATCAGACTCTGACAAAGAGACGAGCATTCCTCGTCAAGCAAACAAAGCAACATCAATTAACATAGACCGTAAATCATCAACATCATATTCATCGGCTCGTTGATGGGTCGAGAGCTCAAATAAAAATCTGCTTGGCTAATAAAGGCAATGTCAAAGGCTATAATCATCACTCACAATATTCGAACCCATGACCATGGGTCTGGCTCTTATACCAAATTGAAGCATGTGCTTCCATCTCAACTAAGGTTATATGTTCAACAACCACAAATCACCAAACTAACTAGCAACAATTACACATTACCCATCACTGTAACTTGTACAAATCAGACAAAGCCTCCAAGAATTCTTGCAATTATCATCAAAGTTTTCAAATTTCTTAAATTGATCAAACCCCTTCAAGGAAAAACATAATCCCACACTGTTATCCAACCAAGATTGACTGACTGACCAGAGTGGGAGGAGAGATTGGAAGCCCTCTTGGTGAGAATTACACGGAACTCCCCAGCATCCCCTTCAAAGAGGCAGATCAAGACCGCAGCTCTCTTGGGTTTGAACCTCTCTGGCTGGGTGCTAATTGGGGTCACAGATTCTTGAAAGCCCAATAGGGAAACCACCTTCCCTGAGCTCTCCTCCGCATCGCTATCTTCCCCCGCCGGCGGAGCTTTGTACAGCCGCAACTGCCGGGCCAAGGCCAGAAGCCTCTGTGAAGTCCCAAGGATGTTCTTGGAAGCGGATGATGAGGAATCCATGAGGGGCTTCGGGAGTGGAACCGACATAGAAAATGAGGTTGAAACCCTTCGCAGGACTGAAAGCATCTCACGATTAGGATCGGAATCAAGTACTGGTTGGGAAGGGATTTTGCATAATTGCATTGGGCATTGATCGTACACCGTACTATGCTCTTTTCACACCAAGAACTAAACAATTTCTTTTCTTCTTTCCAATCCATTGGATGTATACGTGTATATTGCTGGGTCATTTTTATTATTTTTATTTGGCTAAAGTGTCATCCCGCACCATGAACCATAAGCGATTATTCATACCGCACCCTGAACTTTGATAAGTGCTAATTCAAATCATGAACCATTAAATTTTGTTCGCCTAGACTATTTTACAGGTTTTCCGATTTCCTTGATGACATGGCACCGATAATGCGTTGATGTGGACTTATTTTTAAAATTCAACACCCATTTCAAGGACCATGTGCTGATGTGGACTGAAGGCCATCGGCACACTGATCTTCAACGCCATCTATTTCATCCTGCGACCGTCGCCGGGAAGTTTCGCGACCATCTTCATATCAACGTCCGTTGTTTCCTTTGGGTTTACAGCCAAGGGATATTTCCCCTTTCCAATGACACGATTCTTTAAAAACAGCTACGATTTACCTCCGTCTCCGAACGAAACATTCATTCTTTAGTGGATCTTCATTATCCGATTCACACCATTGGTCATCCAAAAGTGTATGCTTCTTCACTATACTCCTCATTTCTCATTTCCTCATTCTGTGTTTCTCTGCAATTGCATACGCAATTCGTTAATTATACTGCCTGCCTAACTCTATCTCTCTCTCTCTCTCTCTCTCTCTATATATATATATATATATATATATATATATATATATAGAGAGAGAGAGAGAGAGAGAGAAAGAAAGAGTGCATGAGAGAGATGAAGAACAATAGCTGTGCTAGAAAAGGAGGCAAAATGAAGGATTTTCAAGCTATTCACAAGCCTCCTGGGTGGTGCACGACAGCAAATTATCATCTACGGTGGAGGGATGACCGGAAATAATGTCGACTGAAGAACACTGTACACAACGGTGCACCTTCTGGGCCAGAACCGCCATCACGTCGCCGCCGCAATGGGTGCACAGAGACAAAAAGATGGAGACCTGGAGCCAATGTCATCAACGTAGTTCTTGTTCCCGGTGATCTTGGTCTTGGTAGGGCCATCGCCAATGAAGACAATGTGGTTCATTTTCTTTGGAACAACCACGTAATCATTGTACACTCCAACTAAAGCTATGCTGACCAACTAAACAGTCACAACTCAGAAATAATATTCATATACATACATATATACTTATGTATATAAGAATATCAAAGAGTTGCGGACAGAACATCAGATGCATGCATGTGTAAAACTCTTATTTTATTTGCATGAATTTAATTCAGCAAGAATTCCGTTGGAGTATATAAGAATATCAAAGAGTATTTTATTCTCTGTGTAAAACCATGAGCGTCGGCGTCCATTCAATTTTGCCGGAGCTGATCGAAACCTTGCAAGAATTCCTCAAGGATCAAGAATTCCACCGCTTTCGGAAGGAAAAAAAATAGGTTGGACGAAGCTTAGCGGTAGGGGTGGTTTCTTCTCCCATGTCTACCGGTGAGTTGTCCTTTCCTCCAACACTCCAGCCTAGCAGGCGTAGAAGAAGTAACAGGTAGGCAATTTGGGTGGACGTCAGCAGCGGCCTTCCTCTTCTTCTAGCAGCGACGGGCAGCAACGTAGCTTGATTGCCGGCGAGGCAGGTGGAGTCGAGCGGCGGCGGGTCGTCATAGTCGGAGCTGACGGCGAAGACGGTGCAAGTCAAAAATGTTGAGAACGTAAAAAAGAAGAAGCTGCCATGTCATATTTTAATATAAAAAAAAAAAAAAAAAAAAAAAAGTCTCCACATCATCATATTTTAACCTGTAACTTGATGTCAACCTGTAAAAAAGTTTAGGTGAACAAAATTTAATGATTCGTGGCTCGAAATAGCACTTATCAAAGATCAGGGTGCGGCATGAACAATCGCTTATGGTTCATGGTGCGGGATGACACTTTAGCCTTTTTATTTTTACTTTGGGGTACTTTTATCTTCTCACAACATGTTGAATCCCTAAAGGCTCTTACATCGGACATAACATTTGGAATGATATAAATCATAGTGACTTAATGACTCAACTGACAATGACAAATATTACCTACGAAAGTTTGAACCAGTGAGTTAAGTTCGTGTGAACTTGATATTTTTATCGAGTATATTGATAGTCAAATTTAGGGGTGTGTAAGTGAATCGTGTTTTCGTTAAACTTCTTCGTGTTTTTATTTGACAAACATTCATTTTTGTTTGTTTATTAAAGTAAACGAATATATAAACAAATTTTAGAGCTCGTTTAATAAACGAATAGAGTTTGAACATTTGTATGCTCATTTGTTAAGAGCTAGTGAACAAGCTTGTTTATTATTCGTTTAATAATATTTATGAACAAACTCGTTTAATTTAGTGTTTGTTTAGTAATGTTTACGAACAATTTCATTTTTTTTATATTGGATGTTACATTTTTTGACTTATTTGTATTATTTTTATAATTGTTATGTTGTTTGTTTGGTTATTATGTGTGAACAAAAAATATTTCTTGTTTACAAATAAATTATAATCATGAACATGGACATGTGTTTGTTTGTTTAGCGTTCGTGAACAAAGTTGCTTGGTTGTTCACGAACATAGTTAATTGACCAAACAAACGAACATAGTTAATTGACCAAATAAATGAACATGTTTTCAAACGTTAACAAACATTAACAAACGATTAACAAATCAACACAAACAAAATTTTTTAAAATATTAACATTGAACACAAACACTTTAAAAATTAAGAAATTTATGGATAATAATAATAACAACAACAACAACAATAATAATAATAATAATAATAATAATAATAATAATAATAATAATAATAATAATAACAACAACAACAACAACAACAACAACAACAACAATAATAATAATAATAATAATAACAATAATAACAATAATAACAATAATAACAATAATAATAATAATAATAATAATAATAATAATAATAATAATAATAATAATAATAATAATAATAATGGCCACTGAACGTAACCTGAAAATGCAATTAGGCCATTGAACGAAAAAAAAAAAAGTACAATTAGACCATTGAACACTACACAATCGTGCAATTTCACGCATCAATTTTAGCAGACTACCTGCTTACGTGGTAGTTGAGTTGGCATTTTTAATAATTTTTAATAATAATTTTAATAACAATAACAATAATAATGGCAAAGGAAAATTTGCTGACAAAAGACAAATAACAATAACAATAATGATGTATTTGTTACAAATATATTATTAATGGACATTATTAGTATTTATTTTTGTAACAGTTGAAACGGTTTTTGGAATTTATTGTATTGATTATCTTGTACCCTATATATAATGTACCATTGTACAGAATGAAAAGTGAATGAAGATGAGATCCCCCTATTCTTTCCTATTCTATTTTTCCTTTTAACACGTTATCAGCCCTTGCTCTAACCAACTAAGGTTTCGGCCGAGACAGGTCAATGCCTTTTCCGGTGGGTTGTAGAGGCCTTTTCCGGTGGGCTGTAGAGGCGTCCGTTTATCTCCATCGACGATCCGTCGGCTACAGGCTGGTGATGAGGGTTCGGGATGCTCCAGTGACGTCTCCAACACCGACCATCTTCACACGGATCAGTTCTCCGATCGCCAATAGTTTGTGATTCCGCCAATCGTGACCCAGGTTTCGTCTCTTGACCCTTTGCCGGCGTTACAGGTGGCCGATGGTCGATGAGATACCGGTGATGGTCTCGGGAAAGGTTCACCGTCGTTCGTCTCTACTCGGATTCGAGATCGGCCCCCGTTGAGCTTTTTCGATATTTTGAGCTGTCAAAGTCGGAGATGATACCTTCAGCTTCGCTCAGCGGTGTCGAGCGATGGTGGTGATGGCCAAGGCTTGATTGCTGCTCCTCGTGTATCTTCTGGCTTGGCTGGTGTACTCCCAAGTCAACAGCCGCCTCACGCCAACCCTTTGCCGGTCGTTTCTGTGATTTTTGGTGTCTCCACGTGAAGTCGGCTTCCCCTTGCGCGCTTCAGGCCACCGGCGTGGTATGGGATTGGATTTGGGAATCCAGATTGGGCAAGAGCTCATTCTGCTGCAACATCTACTGCACCTGGAAGCTGCCTGATCCAGAATCCATGAGGGCATTGAAAGATATCTTGAATAGATTGGGTCAAACAACGTCCTGTGTGAAGAAATTAAAGATGATTCCTAGAGAAGGAGAGAGCCGTGATGATCATGGATGCAATCAGAAATCCTCTCCAATGTTTGCTCTCCGTGTTTTCCAAAGATAGCGAGTTTTCTGGTACACGAAGCATTGCCTTCAATTAAGAAAATTAATCTTGGGGATTGTTTCCTTTAATCTTGTGGTGCCAGTTGGCTTGTTAGCTCCTAACCGGTGTATTGTAAGCAATTTAGTATATGAACTAAAGCAGGAAATGTAAAAGAGTAGAGAGAATGTGATAGTAAGAATGATTAGAAAGAGAAGGAATCAGTGTGTCTTTTCATTCAAGCATTGTACAGTATATATACACAAGAATGGATAGCTGTTACAAATCTACTCATTAAGATTGGCTGTTACAAATTAGGCCATTAAGCACTATAATAATGTCCATTAATCATATTTTATAACACTCCCCCTTGGACATTATTTTGTCATAATCATGCCTCGTTAAAAACTTCACTAGGAAAACCACGTGGGAAAAACCTAGTTGAAGAAAAGAGTACATGATATATAAAAAGCATATATTGTTTGGTTGCCTCATTAAAAACCTTAACTTAAGAAAACCCTGTGGGAAAAAAACTTAGTTAAGGGAAAAAGAATACAACTATAAGCCTTCAAGACATAATCTTCCGGATTTTGGGGTTTGTCTACTTAAACATTTATTTTATAACTTTTATCATTGGCATCATACCCATGCCTCGTTAAAAACAACACTAGAAAACTTAATGAGAAAAACCTAGTGAGGAAAGGAGTACATGGTATGTATATGTTGCAAAAAGTACAATTGTTAGTCTTTTAAGACCCAATCTATGGAATTAATTTGAGTTGAATGTACTTTCAGTCTCCCCCAGAAGATAATAATCTTCAAAGTTTATATATTCTAAATAAAACATTTGTTTTGATAGGGGATATGGTACAACCTTCGAGATTATTACTAGAACTAACATTATGTATAATGATCTAGTGACTCTTCTGGAGCTCACGTGGATTGAATATTGATGCTATATATTTTGTTTAATATTCTTAAATATACCCATTCAGTATTTATATAACACAAGCTTTAGGTAATTAATGTGGGTAAAACAAAACATAACCAGTTTAGGATTTGTCATCAAGAATATCAAATAAAATAACCAATATCCAAGTAGTCAAAAAAACATACTTGGTTACTCATATATAAACAAACTTTGTATCTCAAAGATATATGTTGCGGTTTTCATTTTTCTCATTTTTGAGAACTTTTAATTCTGCATATCCTATTTTATCATTCTGTCAGTTATGTAGCGGAACTTTTAATGACGTTCATTTCGGGAGAATATATTCATTTAGCTACGAACTCGCTTTTATATTTACACCACCTCATTATCCTTGTTTCTCTTTTATACACATACCCATTTTGTAACCTACAGGGTTAATGGTGTATATGTTATAAAGAGCATTTATCAGCGAGTTGAGCTATATATACGCCTTTAATTGCTCCTTTTATACATTAGTCAATTAGGGCACTTCTAGTGCCTAACTCTGGATCCAGATATAATATGAGCAATTAAAGGTAATAGTGTTGTCGACAACTTTAATATTTTCATAAGTTTCTCCCACATATAAAAGCTTTTATAGTATTTCTAAGTCAACTAGATTATAGCCATTTCCCAAATATATTTGCATCTAGTTGTTCCGAATCTCAGTATTGTGATTATTTTGGTGCACCTATAAACTTACTGAGTTTTCTCGTCTTTTGGACATACATAACTTCTTAAGATTTTTCGAGAATGACAAAAATTCTTTACTAGATCTAGTTCTTTTGGATTCTTATTTTTTTCACTCTTTGGCAGATAGTTGCAATTATTTTATGAACTTCTAGTTCAATCTTAACTAGTACGTGATTTTGAAAGATGAAGATCATTCCATTCTGTGAAATTTCTCGGCATTCTGACTCATATCTCCCCCTAATGCCGCGAACCGATCTTCATAAAGTATGAAGTCAGTATATTCATCGATCCTGTTTTAAAGGCTCTAGATTTTTAGACAATTGACAGAGGCATACAACCAATGTGTATTTGATAGCCTCTAGAGATACGCCATGGTGGTGTCACGGTAAAATAAACTGCATACTGCAGAGTTTGGGAAATGTACGATTTTGAAACCACGTATATCAAGTATAAGGGAGAATAAGGATATGCAGTGTGCCGGAGGTTTAGAATTAAAGTAGTAGCATGAAATATTTTTATTTCCCCAACAAGTATCCGGCAAACTGGAATTTTGAAAATAATGGACTAGCATGCATTTTCGAAATGCATAGATAAAGAATTATTCAAAAACAATAGAGTATCTTATTTTTGAAAGATATATGCTCGCATGCATAAAAGAACGAAAATGATGTATGAAAAGAATGAGACACTCATTCTTGGTCTCCATAATCCTTAAGCTCCTCACCCAATAAGTCATCACTCAAATTGAGTAAGGCGTTTGCTTCAGGCAATGCAGCTTGAGAGGATTCATTTGTCTTCCGCTCATTATTTTGTTGTATCATCATCTGGTAGGCTTCGACCAAATGTTTTGAAGTGCGACACGTGCGGGACCAGTGTCCTTTGCATCCACACTTATAGCACGTATTTTGATGTCCTTGACGAGTTTGATCTTCGGGTTGCTTATTCTGGGTCCGAGAATCACCGTTATTAGCTCCGCTCCTGCCACCTCGTTTCTGGCCCCTACCGCGGCCTCTTCCTCGCCCTCGACCCCATCCCCTCTGATTGTTGCTTGATTGGGCAACATGGTGCACTTCAGGTGCAGGTGTAGCGCCGGTTGGGCGTGCATTGTGGTTACGCATCAACAATTGGTTGTGTTTTTCAGCGACCAGTAACGCAGAAATCAGCTCTGAATACTTAGAAAGTTTTTGGCCCTATACTGCTGCTGGAGTACAAGATCATTAGCTTGAAATGTGGACAAGGTTTTTTCTATCAAGTCTGTATCTGAGAGTTCCTGCTCACAGAGCTTGAGCTTAGATATGACCTTGTGTAAAGCTGAGTTATATTCGGTTACTGATTTAAAATCCTGGAATCGGAGGTTTAACCAATCGAATTGTGCTTGTGGCAAGATCAGTGATGTCTGCTGGTCAAAACGATCTTTAAGGGATTTCCAAAGGGCATGTGGGTCTTTTTCAGTGAGGTACTCATTCTTGAGATCATGGTTGAGGTGGTGGCGGAGGAAAATTAGGGCCTTAGCTTTCTGAGCGTCATCGCTCGGGGAATTTTCAATGATTGTGTCTTGTAGTTCTGTTGATGTGAGATAAATCTCAACATGAAGGGCCCATGTCAAATAATTGCTTCCATCCAGGAAAAGCTCGGTGAATTCACGTTTTGCGATGGCAGCCATAATCTATAATTTTTAAGAAAAATATTTACTAAAGTGTATGAGCATGCATAGATTTAAGGCTAGTCCAAAAACCTTAAATAAATAAATGTAGGACCAAATAACAGATGATGGAAGATGATTTTAAGAAATTGGGTTAATTCAAAATTGAGAAACTTAAGCCCAAAATTTAAATTAAATGGGTCCAGAATTTAAGCAAGGCCAAGAACTTAACGTTAAACAAACCAAAGAATTTTTAAAGAATTATCTCGACTTGAAGATCGAGTTTTTATTTAAAGAATTTTTATACGCCAGTAAGTCAATATATAATGGGCTATTTGGGTATTGGCTATTATTTTTGTATCCCCATAATGCCAAGTTTCAAAACTGGTTGTACTATATTTACCATATTGTCCTATAAAGGAACAATAAAGATTGTATTGCACAAATGATAACAGGATATATAATGAGATCCCTTTGACTAGAAATTACGATGTCAATATTATACCTACGTGAGCTCCAGAAGAGTCACAAGATTATTATAGAGTATATTCATTATATTCTATTGACAGTTGTACATATTTATTTACTAAATTTCTCTATATATTTTGGAAATTTAGTGTATGGACTTAAAGATTGTTATCTTGAGGGGAAGTATCATTTTACATGAATCAATCCTGAAGATTAGGTCTTGACGACTAATGATTGTACTTTTTTCCTTAGCTAAGCTTTTTCCTTACTGGGTTTCCTTAGCTTAAGGTTTTTAATGAGGCAATCAGTACAATATATTTTCTTACGTATATCATGTACTCGTTTCTTCAACTAGGTTTTTCCCACGTGGTTTTCCTTAGTGAAGTTTTTAATGAGGCATGAATGTATTTAAATATACTATCGATATACCTTGTACTCTTTTCTTGTTTAGATTTTTCCCACAGGGTTTTCCTGGCAAGTTTTTAACGAGGCAAGGTTGTGGACAAATAATGTCCAAGGGGGAGTGTTACAAATATATTATTAATGGACATTATTAGTATTTATTCTTGTAACAGTTGAAACGATTTTTGGAATTTATTGTATTGATTATCTTGTACCCTATATATAATGTACCATTGTACAGAATGAAAAGTGAATGAAGATGAGATCCCCCTATTCTTTCCTATTCTATATTCTATTATAATAACAATAATTATTTATTCTGAAGAACCTTAGTATTAGGCTAATCTCTATTTGCTAAATCTAAAGAATAATTATGTGTTTCAAATATTTATTACTGTATATTTCTATTCTTCAACCTAACCAAACGATGCTAACATATTTTCAAATTTCAAATTAACCAAATAACAATTCTAAATTTTAAAAAGTTAATAATAAAATAAATATTAAACATGATTTGGATAGGGGCTGCGCGAACGCAAGCCCCCACTACCACAAATTATGACGTAGGCTCCACCTATTAGGTAGACCTTAGCCTAATGCCCCTCCAAAGTGCAATGGAGGTCACTAGCCTAAGCCGTGAGCCTTGATGATCGCCCATTGACTCCGTCCAGGTAAGTATGTTCTTTGTTGTTCCTGGGCCACTTTTTATTAGGCGCTGCTGAACTCTTGCTTCCATTCAGTTTCAATGTGGGATATAGGGAACGAGAATAGCTTCTTCTTTGCTCTCCTTTCTTCTCATTTTTGGTCCCTTTTTCTATAGTTCTTTTTCGTTTTCTTGCTTAGGCTTACAACGGGAAAATGAATTAGCACATTGCTATACATATGAAAATCTCAAAAGCTTAGTTTAATCTTCCTTAAGTGCTTGTTGAACTATAGAAAAAGTAAAATAATTTTCTGGGAATGTCAACTAAATATCAGAAACTGAGCTATTATAAGGTAGAGACATGCATTCATCTTAGCTATTTCTTCAACCAAGTATTTGGATTCAGCTGCAAACTCGACAGGTGATCATAGACAAGTATTTGATTTTGCAGCAGGTTGGAATTGAAGCAAACCATCTGCAATGGGGTCGATCTTCCAATCCCTTAATTACTTGTTTGACTAACAAAAACCTGATCCAACAAATCCCATGGCATATTTGAAATAAAAGAGTTTGTCAAACCCAAGTGCAGTTCGAAAAAGTGATCATCGCCATCTTGTTTGAAGTTCTTTAGTATCCAAAGTAAGATAAAGAATTGCAAATGCAATGAACTTTAAGTGGCACCATATCATCATAACATACAAATGCAACTATGAAATCAGAAATAGCCCCCAGAATGTTGCCCACTAAGTATTGCACATATGGATATTGAATAGCAAAGTCAATAAAGTTAGGTCCTAAGAGAATAAGAGCATGTACATCAGTACATATTAGTTGGTTTAGGGAACAATGCATAGTGAGGAGAGAGAATGAAGGCAAAAGAGAAAAAAAAAATGGGCTGGGGTTGCCCTGCAAGGGAGGGGTTTTTGGCAGAAATATGAGATCCACTGAAGAAATTCTTCAGCCACGCCACGCCGCGTGGCTGTCACAAGTGTGCTCAGCGGGCACGTGCCCTGCACGTATGGATGTCAATTTAGCCCAATAATTCATAGTTCAGGATTAGGCCAATCCAACCCAAAAACTAAACAAAACAAGACCATTTAGCCCAAACCTTTAAGCTCAACAACCCTACAGGGTTAGCCTAAAACCTAGTGGGCTAGCCCAAATGACATCCCTAACTGCAAGTACTCGTTGGGCGCGTCAGGCGCTGACAGTTACTTTTTTTTTTTTTTTGTTAAAATTAGTTTTGTTTTATTTTTATTTTTCTCTTTTTTTCTCTTCCCTCTCATATTCTCTTTCCTAATCACACTTAAACTCATCAAAAACCACAAAAAAACTTCACTATTATGGATGCTCTAACGGAAACTAAAAAAATGTTGGTGTAATTGTTTGTTGAAATGAATGGTTCATATTATTTTGATTTTAGTATTTTTATTAATTTTTCTACTTTTACCCTCTATTATATCATTTACTTTTCTTAGATAACTTTGCATTCCGTCAATGTAAACTTTAGTAACGAAATATTCAATTAACTATTTATTATTCTTAACTTACCCATTGATTTTAATAATGAATGTCTTAGGTTCGGACCTCATCCCAATCAAAATTGACATATATAATTGTTAAACATATACTATGAATATGTTAGAGCGTATCAAAAAAAAATACAATATAAATTTTAACATGAATTTTTGTCAATTAATTAGAATCACGCATTGACATTGATGAAACGGTAAACCTAATTTACAATATATATTTAAGTATTTAACACATATGAGAAATTATGTCTATTATCATTGCCTTTTTTAGGGAGGAGGGTTTGATTATGTTTTTGAAGGTGCACTGTGCCAAAGCATTAAAATTGCAGTGAAGCACACGATGTGACTAGATTAAATCAAGAATTCATTTCTGACCGAAATGGCAACAAGAGGAAGCATCGATCACACCAATTAATAGAGTTTTGGATATGTTGCAAAAATTATGCTTGGGTACTATCCAGTGAGAGTGTTTCCCTCTAAAATTATTATTTCACCAGTTAATTTTATGAAAAATTATGACATAAGTCATAGTTATGCATTCTTGAAATATTTGCTTTTATGCATGACAAATTTGATAATCTTGCATTGATATATGTCAGGATACCAAATTATACTTTGATAAATTCTGAAACACTAGTTTTTTAAAATACAAATTAAACATTTAACTATTCGTGCGATGCGCGTGATAACTATTAATAATAATACATTTGAAAATAAAGTTCATTAGCATATTGGATGTTTGGATACGGCGCAAAATCATTTTGGGCTAAAAAAAAACATACTATGGCATTCGAGGTCCATTGGCTAAGAAAGTCCAAATTATTATAAGTGGTAAGATATATAAACGACAATTATGCCATAGACTCAGATTGAAATACACAATTTATATACGGATTGTTTACAATGATTTTAGATACCTTTACTACTTGAACACTTATGCACACAAGAGGTATTCATCACCACTTATTGGTTAGAGTGTCCCAATCATTTTTTCAAAAGGCTGAACCCCAACGCTAAGGGCCTCTCACATCCCGACCCGACAGCGTATTTTGAAGGATATAAATCATGGTAATTCAACTAAACATGAATCACAGAGTAAAGTGTCCCAATCATGACTCAAGTTGATTGAATGATTCGAATCCTCACTCGATTACTGAAGTAAGACTAAACGTGAATTAATCGAGCATATGAAATACATTGCAGACCTAAATTTTAGTTATTTTTTTAGCACGGGAGATGCGTAACAATAATCTGCAGAAGCTAGTGTCAAATTCACACAGGAAGATGGAGAATAAAACCAAGAAAAAGGAACAGTAGAAGGTGAAGTAGCTCATCAATGCAAGCCAAGCCAAGAGAGTAATTTATTCAATGGATTTGCAGTTTTGCACACGCACAAACACATTCATTATATTCTGAAACTTGACGTGATTTGACTGCAGAAAACATCAAGACATGACTTGTGACAACCTTCTCGGTTTACTGGGCCACCAATTTCCGTGAAAGATTCGTTTGGACTAAATCCATTACAGAGTTAATCAGAAAGAATAACAGTATGTTTGGTTGGGAGGAATGACTTAAGAATAAAAGGAATTATAATTTGGTAGGAAAGGAATAAGGTGAAATAATGTAAGAATTCAAATTATATTATTTAGTAGATAAAAATATAATTATTGAGAATGAGAAGGAAATTTGTAAAGACTAAAATATCATGTAATAATAACTAAAGGTATTGTTGTAATTTTTTTACTTTCTTACCAGCATCCTCCAACCAAACAACGTAATTTAGGGTTTCAACGGATTTCAATTCTTTTTTTTGTTTTTTTTTTTTTTGAAAGTTACTGGCTCTATTACATTGTAGTATCTGTTCATATACTTTCTCAACCTACTGAAACACAAAGTACCAATAACGCCTCCACTGAGGCTTGAACTCATAATCTTCCAAATGGAAGTCCAACCCGGATACCATTAGACCA